CATGGTCTTTTCAGTTGCCTCATGTGAATGTGAAAGCTGGACAGTGAAAAAAGAAGACAGCAGAAAAATTGATGCATTTGAATTGTGGTGTTGGTGAAGAATACTGAACATATCATGGGCTGCTGAAAGAATGAACAAATGTATCTTGGAGGATGTAGAGGCAGAATGCTCCTTAGAAGTAAGGATGGCAAGATTTTGCCTCTCATACTTTGGACATGTTCTCAGGCAGGATCTGTGCTGGAGAAGCATAATATATGTGGTAAAGTAGATGGTCTGTGAAAAAGAGGAAGACTTTCAGGGAGATGGATTGACACAATGGCTGCAAAAATGGGCTCAACCATAGCAATGTTTGTGAGGATGGCGCAGGACCTGGATAGTGTTTTGTTCTGTTATACCTGAGGTTGCTATAAATCAAAACCAACTTGATGGCATGTAATAACAGCAACATATCTATAGCTTTCAAGAAAAATGAAATTCTGTCCTATGAGTAGGAGATCAATGCCACTTGATAACCAAGTATAGAAAGCACACATAAAGGGTTTAATCATTTCCTTATGATTCTGACCATTTTGGTGTATAGTACTGTCATATATTCAGTTTAGTCAAGTCTTTATTAGTCTTTAACATTCTGAGTTTATGTGATTAGCAGATATTTTAAATACTCTATATCCTTAAAAATGAATGTGTTGTTGTAGACAAAGAACCAATTAATATAGCATTTCATGAATTATTTAGCAAAATGTTATTGATCATCTACCACGTTAAGCACTATGCTAGATTCCTTTGATCCAAGGATGAAGAAGACCCCTTTCTGCTCTCAAGGAATTAATGGTTTAGTGGGAAGGCAAGCTCATGAATAGGTATATTATATTATGGCATGAATGGGAAGCTGGATTTGGAGAAGATTTCATGGGAACAGTTTAGTGCAAGATATATAGAGGGAAAATTTTTGAGAAGAAGAACAAGAAAATTTTCAAAGCAGGAAAGAGCTAACGTGGAGGTCCTTTCATATTAGACCTAGATGAGAAAGTATACACTCCAAAATTCACTGGGCTATGTGTAAAATCAGTAAAAAGATGATGGATATGAAATCACAGTATAAGAAATGGCCTGTCATCCTAGAGCTTCAGTTTTACATGAAGACTTTGATGAAAATAAATTTCAAATGTTTACAGTTTTA